GACGATCGAGGTGCCGGATGTGAAGAGCGGGAGCGTGGAGACTCGGAGCCCGAGGTGAGGGGCGGGACGGGCGGCGGCTCTGAGGCTGAGGGTCGCACAATTGGGACCGACCGGGACCTGGGCCCTCTGGGGGTGGGGACGGCGGGACTGAGATTTGGAGTGTATGTTGAGCGGGGGTTTCGTTGTAGAGGGAGCCAAGTGAGGGAATCGCTAGTCCATCTGGGGAGATGAAGACAAGGGGATCCAGAGGGACCGAGTTTGAGGAATCCCTTCCTTAGGCCGGGGATGTCGGGGGAGTCCTAGACGGTGGGCATCCCAGGACCTGCAGGTCTGCGACTTCTGCGCCAGCCTGAAGGACACCTTTAAGGGTAGTGAGACGTGGCAGGGGGTGGGGGGGTGGAGGCTCTTAATTAATTAAAGGCAGTACATTCACATATTCAAGAGTCACAAACTTGCACAAGGCTTTATTACTCAAAAACTCTTTCTTCTCTCTATAGCCCCATTTCCTGCCTCCCTGAGGAAATATTTTCAAGCCTTTGAACTTTTCTTCTTCAGAAATTTTACTTCTTCCTCTTCTATCTGCATCTCTTCTCTGTGGTCTTCCTTTATCTGCTTCACTAAATTTAAACACTTCAGTCTGAAATATTTCCTCATTGATTTCCTTTGTCTCTTGGTCACACTTTGCTGCTTCCTGTATGTAGTCAGCCATTTGTTTTTCTTTCCCTTTTTCTAGTCATACCCTTGACTACATTTTGCACAAGTTCCTTTTTGAGAGCTCATCTTGGAATGAGCCTAAATTCAGAGGTGTGGGAATGGGTCCGGAGCTTTATATATATAGATTTTATTTAATTATTTAAGAGAGTGAGAGAGAGAGAGAGCCCAAGAGCAGGGTGGGGGGCAGAGGGAGAAGCAGACTCCCCGCTGAGCAGGGAGCCCATGTGGGCTTGATCATGGGACCCTGGGATCATGACCTGAGCCAAAGGCAGCTGCTCAACCGACTGAGCCACCCAGGCACCCCTCTCGTATATTTTCTGTATGATCAAGACTTTTGTGGGATTTTTTTTTCATTTTAAAAATAAGAAATATGGGCGCCTGGGTGGCTCGGATGGTTAAGCGTCTGCCTTCGGCTCAGGTCATGATCCCAGGGTCCTGGGATCGAGTCCCGCATCAGGCTCTCTGCTCCTTGGGAGCCTGCTTCTCCCTCTGCCTCTCACTGTCTCTCATGAATAAATAAATAAAAATCTTAAAAAAAAAAAAAGAAATATGACATATAAGGGATATATTGTAAAACATGTCTTGAAGGTGAAAAGAATACTACTTAACCTAAATCTGTGTATCTAACACTAATCTTAATAGAACTCTACCCTAATTTATAACCCTTGGTATAGTCTCAATTATTAACCCCCCATTACTGTTTGAATTTTATACTCGTAAATTACTTGTTTTTCATTAGAATTTAGTTAAAATTGTATCCCAGGAAAAAATGTATGGAATAATTTTGATGTAGGAAAGACGTTAGGGTTCGAAGCTGTCGGCCAAGAATTCTTGAGACGTCTTTGGTGCAAAAAGGTGATTTTATTAAAGCATGGGGACAGGCCCTGTGGGCAGACAGAAGTGCACTGGGGTCATGAGGAGCGGCCCATTATATACTTTCAAGTTGGGAGGGGGGTTAGGGATAGCTTAAGTCTCAAGGAATTTTGGAAGCAAGGTTTCCAGGACCTTGAGGGGGCTAGCTATTGTTGGGAAAAGGTCATTTATTACCATCTAATAAAACCTTAGTCATGAGACCCTTTAGATGTGTATCGGTGGGTCATATGCTTGGGGGATGATTACCAACACGTATCATGGGGGGTTTAGAGATATAAAGGAAGTTTCCAAAGGAATTTTTATATGTTAGAGTAGACTTACAGGATCCTGGGGGCAAGGGGTGTCAGGCTAGGATTGCCTTTGCCCTTAGCTAAGTATTAACATGGAGGCAGTTGACTCCCTAGAGAAATGTCACTCAGCTTGTTTCAAGGACTTGTCAGTGGGCTGTAGGTAGTAAGGAAATTTAATAATTTTTCTTCTGCCTTTGTTTCCCACATCAGTTTTGCATGTCTTTGGATTCTATATGTAAATTATTTTCATACTGTTTTCTTCAGTGCCTTTCTTTTGTTACTTAGCCTTGTCTGTTGTCTTCACAGGATTATTCTAAGACCAAGCATAAAGCTGTAATATTTTTTGCTGTTTTATAGTATTCCATTTAATAAGCAGGCAACAACTTATTTCCCCACTATTCTGTTAAAGGACATATAGGTTGTTTCCAGTTTGGGATATTATAAACAGTGGTGCTTTGAACCAGCACGTGTCATCTGGGGCACCAGTGATGTGGGAACAAAGGCAGAAGGAAATGTAGATAAAATTAAATGTCCATATAACCTGCAGCCCATTGATAAATACTTTAAGGCAGGCAGGGTATAACCTTCCTCCAGGAAGCTCCCAACGGTCTTAATGTTAATGACTTGCTAGAGGGAAAAACAATCTAGGTTTGACAATAGCGAGGTCTCTGGTATCCTGTGTTCTTTAGCATATGAAGATCCTTTTAGAACTTCCCTTATCTCAAGAATTCTTTCTTGGTCCTCAGCTCTGGAGCTCACCCCACCAAACCACCTATATTCCAAAACTATGTTAGATGTGCCAGACTTACTTTAGACTATACCTACAGTGGAATTCCTAGGTTATAGGATTTGCCCACATTTAACTTCATCACGTAAAGATACTCTGTAAAACAGTTGTACCAGTTTACCTCCTAAAGCCAGTGGGATTGCTAGATTAGAGAGTGAGTAAATATTTAACTTTTGTGAGCAATTAACCAAACTTTTCCAGAGCGTCTGTACCATTTTGCATTTCCATTAGCAATGCATGAGAGTTCCAGTTGCTTTACATCTTCACTGGTACTTGATATTGTCAATTTTTAAAACTTCAAATATTTATTTTAGCCATTTTAATGGAGTATATGGCCATATATTATTATGACTAATTTGCATGTCTCTAATGGCTAATAATGTTGATTATCTTTTCATGAGCTTATTTGTCATCCTTATATCCCTTTGTAAATATCTGGACAAGTGTTTTTCCCATTTTAAAAAATTGAGTTGTTTCCTTTCTGTTGAGTTTTGACAGTTCCTTATTCTATCTTAATATAGGTGCAAGGGCACCAGGTGGTTCCAGTTGGTTAAGCATCTGCCTTCAGCTCAGGTCATGATCCCAGGGTTCTGGGATCAAACCCCCCATCAGGCTCCCTGCTCAGCGGGGAGCCTGCTTCTCCTTCTCCCTCTGCCTCTTCACTCTGCTCCTGCTCTCTCTCTCAAATAAATAAATCTTTATAAATAAATAAATCAGTAAATCACTAAATACAGGTCCAAATGTGTGATTTACAAAATTTTCTTTTCAATTTATAGTTTTTTTTCTCCTAACAGTGCTGCAGAGCAAAAAAGGTTTTAATTTTGATGAAGTCAAGATTCTCAACTTTTTCTTTTGTGGATCTTGCTTTTAGTATTCTATCTAACTGTTAACATAGCACTAGGTCTTGAAGATTTTCCACCTATATTTTCTTTTAAAAGTTTTACAATTTTCCATATTATATATACATTTCATTTTGAGTTTTTTTAATGAGGTATGAGATTTAGATCAAGTTTCTCTTTTTAAAAATTTTTAAATTTATTTATTTTCTCTTTTTTTAATTAAAAAAGTACTTTTAAAAAAATTTGAGTAAACTCTATGCCACGTGTGGGCCTTGAACTCACTTGAACTCACGACCCCAAGATGAAGAGTCACATGCTTTAATGACTGAGCCAGCTAGGCACCACGTCTTTTTTCCCTTTATATCCAGAGATAGGCAGAAAAATGGATATACAACTGTTCCAGCACCATTTGTTGAAAAGACTACTTCCTCTACTAAATTGCCTTTGCTCCATTGTGAGAAACCATTATTTTTAAAAATTATTTATTTTTTTAAAGATTTTATTTATTTGACAGAGAAAGACAGCAAGAGAGGGAACACAAGCAGGGGGAGTGGGAGAGGGAGAAGCAGGCTTCCCGCTGAGCAGGGAGCCCGATGCGGGGCTCGATCCGCAGACCCTGAGATCATGACCTGAGCCGAAGGCAGTCCAACCGACTAAGCCACCCAGGCACCGCTAAATAAAGATTTTATTTATCTGAGAGAGAGAGCTCAAGCAGGGGGAGCAGCAGACAGAGAGGGAGAAGCAGGCTCCCCCCTGAGCAGGGAGCACAATGTGTGGGGCTCCATCCCAGAATCGTGACCTGAGCCGAAGGCAGACACTTAACTGACTGAGCCACCCAGGGGCAACTATTTATTTATTTAAAAAGATTTATTTATTTTAGGGCACCTGGGTGGCTCAGTTGGTTGGGTGACTCCCTTCGGCTCGGGTCATGATCCTGGAGTCCCGGGATGGGGACCCGGGTCGGGCTTCCTGCTCAGCGGGGAGTCTGCTTCTCCCTCTGACCCTTTCCCCTCTCATGCTCTCTCTCTCTCTATCTCATTCTCTCTCTCAAATAAATAAAATCTTTTTAAAAAAAGATTTATTTATTTTAGAAAGAGCACACTGAGCCTGTGTTGTGGGGGAGGGGCAGAGGGAGAGGGAGAGAATCCCAAGCGGACTCCACACTGAGTGTGGAGCCCAACGTGGGGCACTGTCCCAGGACCCTGAAATCATCACCCAAGCCAAAACCAAGAGTCAGACACTTAACCTTAACTGACTGAGCCAACCAAGCGCCCCTACTTATTTAATTTTAATGATCTCTACACCCAATGTGGGGCTTGAACTGAAGACTCCTGGGATGAAGAGTCACATGCTAGATCTACCTACTGAGCCAGCCAGATGCCCCTGTTGCAAGACATCAAATGGCCATATCTATGTGGGTCTAGATCTGGACTCTTCTCTGTTCCACTGATTTATCTGAGTATCCTTTCATCTATACTTAATTGTCTTCATTGCAACTTTATGCTGACTTCTAAACTTGTGTGTAATGAGTTCAACTTTATTCATCTTTTTCAGAATTATTTGGCTATTGTTCCTTTGCCTTTCCATAAACATTTTAGAATGTTTGTCTATATCTTATAAAAAATATTGCTGGGATTTTGATAGGAAATATGTTAAACCTATATATCATTTTCGGAGAGAATTGACATCTATCTGTACTATGTTGAGTCTTCTAATCTTTGAATACAGTATGTCTGTTCATTTACTTAAATCTTTTTGGATTTCTTTCATAAGTATTTTCTAGTTTTTAGTATACAGGTCCTACCTGTGTTTTGTTACATTTGTTAGATACCTAAGTATTTTAATTTTGGTGAGCTATCATAAATGGTATTATATTTTTAATTTAAATTTCCACATATTTGGGGGTACCTGGGTGGCTCAGTCGTTAAGCGTCGGCCTTCGGCCCAGGTCATGATCCCAGGGTCCTGGGATCGAGCCCCGCATCGGGCTCCCTGCTCAGCGGAGAGCCTCCTTCTCCCTCTCCACTCCCCCTGCTTGTGTTCCTGCTCTCACTATCTCTCTCTGTCAAATAAATAAATAAAATCTTTAAAAAATAAAATAAAATAAAATAAAATCCTTGTTAGGTATTGCAGATATTGGGGTTGATATTGGTTTTCTTTTCTCATTCAAGTGGCTATTTTCATTGCTCTTGGTATGACATTTCGTTAAAATTGGGTCCTGGACATTTTGAGCTATTTTTTGAGGCTCAGGCTCTTAATAAATCTTCTGCTTTTTTGTTTAAGATTTATTTATTTATTTTTGTTTTTATTTATTTAAAGATTTTATTTATTTACTTGAGAGGAAGAGAGAGCATGAGCAGGGGGGTGGGGTATAGGGAGAAGCAGACTCCCCACCCAGCAGGGAGCCTGATTTGGGACTCGATCCCAGGATCCTAGGATCATACCTCAGCTGAAGGCAGATGCTTAACCGACTGAGCCACCCAGGTGCCCAGATTTATTTTAGAGAGAGATAGAGAGCAGTGGGGAGGGGCAGAGAGAGAGGGAAAGAGAATCTTCAAGTAGATAGATTCCCCACTGAGCGCAGAGCCCCTTCCAGGACTTGATGCCAGGATCCTTGAGATCATGGCCTGAGCCAAAGTCAAGAGCCCTACTGTGCTTCAACTGACTGAGCCACCCAGGCATCCCCTAAGTCTTCTGTTTTTAGGAGTTCTCTGATGCCACACTGGCAAGGGAAAGGAAGGTGATATCATTACTGCCCAATAGGGTGGAAGTCCAAGTTCCCCACTTGGCCTCTGTTGACAGTCTGGAGATTGGAAATGGAAGGGATGTTTTATTCTAGTGGACTGTGGTGGCTGTCAGGTTCCCCACTGGACCTTCAATGATAGCACCTTGATAGGAGGGTGAGCTGTGCCATGTCCCAGCCTAGAAGAGGGTGTAAGTCTAGGCTTGCTATAGACCTTTGCTGATATGGGTAGGGGTGGTGTCGTACTTTTTTTATGTGGAGTTTGGCTGGAACAAGATGTTTATTATCTAAAAGTTTTCTGTCTTGTAAGGCTGCCCCTTTCCTGTCGTTTGGCTGGAAAAAACATACTATTCTTAGGCTTTTAAAAAAAATCTGCATCCATTGGTATTTTCAGATTGCTGGCTTTTCTTTTTTTCAAGATTTTTTTTTAAGATTTTATTTATTTATTTGAGAAAGCAAGAGCGCGCGCGCGCGAGAGAGAGAGAGAGAGAGAGAGAGAGAGAGAGAGAGAGAAGGAGCAGGGGGAGGGAGCAGGGAGCCTGGATGTGGGGCTCAATCCCAGGACTCCAGGATCATGACCTGAACCGAAGGCAGACACTCAACCAACTAAGCCACCCAGCACCCCAGATTGCTGGCTTTTCTAATACATAGTCTGGAATATATGAGGCAAAAAGAAAACCCAGGGACCCCAACATCATGTCATTTCTTGGGTACCAGGATCCCTTCTTGATCTGCCATTTTCTCTCTACCTTTCAGTCTTGTTTATTTATATAATGGTCAGGATGTTTAGTTGTACTTAGTGGAGGAATATGAAGTGTGTCTATATTGTCCTGGACTGGAAGCTTTGCCTTCATTGTTGAAAGATATTTTTACTATCTCTACATTTAGAGTTTGGTCTTTCAGTACTTCAAAGCTGTCATTCCACTGTTCTCTTTCTTACATTGTTTCCAGTAAGAAATCTGATGTTATCCTTATATATGTTATTTATTGTCTGTTTTTACTGACTTGAGTTGGTTTTCTTTTTTTTTTAATCACTTGTTTTGAGCAATTTGATTATGATGTTTTTTGGTGTAGTTTTCTTCATGTTTCTTTTATGTAGGGTTCATTGAGCTTCTTGGAATTGCAGATTTTACAGTTAAAGTTGTAGGCTATCATTTCTTAAAATATTTTTTTTTTGTTTTGTTTTCCCCAACTCCCCTTTCAATTATCTATATATTAGTCTGAAGTCATCGCACAGCTTACTGATGTTCTTTTCATTTGGGGGAGATTTTTTTTTTTAGAAATGAACTTGATTGTTCTTTACTCATTTTTATTCATTTTATTTTTTTAAGGATTTCATTTATTTATTTGTCGAGAGAGAGGGCACGCAAGCACAAGCAGGGGGAACGACAGACAGAGGGAGAAGCAGGCTCCTGGCTGAGTAGGGCGCCCCAGGCGGAACTCGATTCCTGGACCCTGGGGTAATGACCTGAGCCAAAGGGAGATGCTTAATTGACTGAGCCACACAGGTGTCCCTATTTTTAAAATTTTTTTAAAGACTTTATTTATTTATTAGAGAGAGAGAGCTAAAGAGAGACAGAGAGAGCACCAACAGGGGAAGGGGCAGAGGGAGAGGGGGAAGTAGGCTCCCCGCTGAGCAGGGAGCCTGACATGGGACTTGATCTCAGGACCCTGGGATCATGACCAGAGCAAAAGGCAGATGCTTAACTGACTCAGCCACCCAGGTGCCCCACTCATTTTTATTTTAACCAAACTTTGTTATAAGAATAAAGCTAGTTGGGGGATGCCTCTGTGACTCAGTTGATTGAGTGTCTGACTCATGGATTTGGCTCATATTATTATCTAAGGGTTGTGAGATTGAGCGCCACGTTGGGCTCTGTGCAGAGAGGGGAGTCTGCTTAAGATTCTCTCCCTCTCCCTCTGCCCCTCCCCCTACTCGCATGCTCTCTCTCAAATAAATAAATAAATAAATAAATAAATAAAATCTTAAAAGGAAGAAAGCAGGTGGTTGCTTATGACCACAAAGCATTAAGAAGAATTATTTTATTGGTTCTGTTATCATAATAATTATTAAAGCCATAGACAATGGGTTAAAAACTAGGTTTGATCATCAGGGTGAAATTCAGCTTCCATCATTAGTTATACTCTAAATATACATCCTGCTGCAAATAGGTGAGCCAGTATTATTGGTTAAGTGTAAGAGTTTTTATTACAATTAACTATTATAACCAGGAATATTACACAGAAGTTCCTAGTAATCTAATTACCAAATTTTGTCATGACATTTAAGGTACCCTTGCCTTAACTTGACAAATATTTGTATTCCCAGTATATTCAAGGCATCTGAATATATCCTTTTTTAGGACTCCTCTATTTTTCTGCAATTTGGAGTATTACTTACTGTTCTTGGGGTATTACCACAGCTTAATTCTCTTTTCTCACCTTCTAGGACATTCAGTAGTTAGCTATTAGAATTTACAGTTTCATCTCTTACAACTAAAGCTCACTTCCTCTTTTCTTTTGCACCACATTTGAGATCATTGATGGCATCTTCCAGCTCATTTCACTGTACAAATTTTCCTTTATTCTGATATTTCCTTAATATTGTTAGCATTTCTTTCAGATTTTGACACTGTTTTTTGACACTATTTTTAATATAAGAATTAACAAAACTGCTCTTAGGTGCCTTAGTCTCTCATATTTCTCTGAATATATTAGACATATATCTTTCAAAATCTCCTGTTTGGTGTATTATTGGCTTAGTTTCCTTCAGTGTTAGTTTTTGTCCTTCCAGTTGGGTAATGCCCTTTGGGGTGTTGGTTTTTCTCAGATGTCATGTGAGAGTTCCTGCTGGCATGACTAAATACTGTTTACCTATACCCTTTATTGGCAACAGGATGGAGTGTGGTGTGGTCTGGGTACCAGGACACAGTAGTGATGTGGCATTCCCAAGGTATCTTAGCTGCTGCCAGTCACCAAGGGCACTTCCCTGCCTCCCTGGTTATACTGTGTCAGTCTGGGAGTAGACCCATAGCTGCTTTCTAGCTGTCTGGGCCCAAGGGGGAGGGAGTGCCAGGACTCAGACTGTCTCTAGAGCTTCTTGCATCTTTTCAAGCTGTCATCTTCTGCCGGTTCTGAACTCTGGATCCAACTCTATGGTCATTCCATCTTTGAAAGGCAGCTATGCTAACCACTATACCACCAACGCGTCATTCCATCTTTGAATCCCTCAAAATTCCATGTCCACTGAGGGTGACCCTTCTCAGTTTCCAGCAATGATACCCATTTATGTTTTTAAAATACCTTTTGTCATTTCTATAGTTTTTGGTCAGAAGGCCTACTGAAGTATGTGCTTAAGTGCCATTTTGATTCCATTCAATTGTAGACTGGAATATTAGGTAGTACTTATAGGTGGGGTGAGTGTGTCTGTACAAGCTTTGTAATCAAGATCTTGGGATTAACTCTCAGCTCTGAAACATATTTGATATTCTTAAGTCCCTTTATATAATTTCATCCATCCTTACTTTCCTCATCTATAAAATGGGGAAAATAATGTTTATAATGTATTCTTTTACATATATTAAGTGAAAAATTTAGTTTTTGCTTTGTTTTCAGCCACAAAAGATTGCACACAAACTGGTTTGATGCTCTCCTGACCAGTGTCCCTTCTCTGATGCTTGGTCCTGAAGGCAGTGGAAGCCAAACTTACCCTGGCGCTGTCTGCTGAGCTGTGCAGAATTTCCAACATTGAAGATGGAGCATCAGGTGTTCATTTCACTTTTTTGTTTAACTCTAATCAGAAGATTATATCAAATGGCCTTAAAAAAAAAAAAAAAAAGAAACCGTGGAACACAGATACATTATTCCAGTCCCACAGAATTGAAGGAGATCAGTGTTGAAGGGCAGTGACATATATAGTATTAGCCAAATCAGCTCAAGCTGATATAGCTTGGTTTATAGGAAAACTCCACTGACTTCTGTCTAACCTTATACAGGGAGACCAGGAACAAAGAGCAGCTGTTATTACAGAAGTGAAAGCTGTGTAACCGATTTGTACCATGAACTTATGAAATCAGTATTTTTTAAAAATTTCCTTTTCAATATTTTGTAATGCCTCAAAATGTCTCTTGCATTTTGAACTTATTTCAGTTTATATCGTACTAGTGTACCTCAGCAATTAAATATACATATTGAAATGATTTCAGTTATGTGAAATAAAAAAGTATATATAAATATAAAAAATACATAAAAATGCCATGTTGCTCTAAACAAATTTGAGAGACATGCTTTTGAAAAATTTAATTAAAGGTCTTAGATTCATAATTTTTTTAATTTTGATTTTTTTCATCCTAATCTCTTTTTTTTTTTAAGATTTTATTTATTTATTTTAGAGAGAGAAAGCGCACATGAACAGGGGGAGGAGCAGAGACAGAGAGAGAGGGAGAGAATCTTCACACTGAGTGCAGAGCCTGATCCGGGGCTCCATCCCACGACCCTGACATCATGACCCGAATAGAAACCAAGAGTCTGATGCTCAGCCAACTGAGCCAACCAGGAGCTCCTTTTCATCCTAATCTTTTTGTTTTTTTTTTAAAGTTTTATTTTTATTTAAGTAATTGTACACCCAACGTGGGGCTCAAACTCACCACCCCAAGATCAAGAATCACGTGCTTTTCCGACTCAGCCAGCCAGGTGCCCCTCTAATCTGTTTTTCTTCATTTATAATCCTTAAGGTAAGTTAAGATTTTACAACATTCAATTTGTAAATTGAAACATAATACTGGTCTTTGTGATTATATGAAATTGTGAAGCCTCAATTTAAAGCTTTCTTTTTACTGTTAGTTCATTTTATTTTATTTATTTTAAAGATTTTATTTATTTTTGAGAGAGAGAGATTGAGCACAAGCAGGGTGGGGAAGGCAGAGGGAGAGGAAGAAGCAGGCTCCCTACTGAGTAGAGAGCCCCATGTGGGGCTCAGTCCCAGAACCCCAGGATCATGACCTGAGCCCAAGGCAGATGCTTAACCCACAAAGTCACCTAGGCACCCCCTGTTAGTTCATTTTAGGTTTTTTTGCTAAAGTAAAACATTTAACTAAAATTTCTATTACCAAGTTAAAATAAACTCTTTTTCACAGAAAGATTCATAGGACTCAGGCTATAGTTATACTTGTGGCTAAGATTTATTATATTATAAGGATGCAAAGCAGAATCAGTAGAGGAAAAAAGGCTAATGGGGTGATATCTAGAAGAAACCAGACCTGAGCTTCCCAGAGTCATCTTAGTGAAGTCACACAGGATGCACTGAATTCCCCCAGCAACACGTTGCAACAACTTTTGTGAAGTGTTGTCTACGAGGGAACCTCACCGGAGGCTGGGAATTCAGGATCTTCCTTGGGAGTCAGTCATGGAGGCACATCGTGCCTGTGTTACTTGTGGCAGTCACTCAAATTCCAGATGTTCAAAAGGAAAGCCGGTGTTCAGCATACATGTTGTTTGTCAGTTTAGGTGCAGTGAGCCACTCTTATCATTTAGGGCAAGTTTTATATGCATGTAGGCAACTGTTTACCAGGGAAGTTCTCAGATGCCAGCCAAGGACCAGCCTTGCAAGCAGGCCTTGCTGAGGTTAGCAGGTTCAGACCTGCTGTGTTAATTCTTTTTGGCATGAAATATAAATGGTATAAGCAAACCAATTAAACAACCAAAATTGTCAGAATGGATTAAAAAAAGACTCAGTGTCTATAAGAAACTCTGTATAGGTGGGTTTTTTTTTTTTTTTTTAAGATTTTATTCATTTATGGGGCACCTGGGTAGCTCAGTCATTAACCGTCTGCTTTCGGCTCAGGTCATGATCCCAGGGTCCTGGGATTGAGCCCCACATTGGGCTCCCTGCTCGGCGGGAAGCCTGCTTCTCCCTCTCTCTCTCCTCACTGCTTGTGTTTCTGCTCTCACTGTGTCTCGCTCTGCCAAATGAATAAAATCTTTAAAAAAAAAAAAGATTTTATTCTTTTATTTTAGAGAGAGAGAACAAGTCGGGGAGGGGGGCAGAGGAAGAGGGAGAAGCAGACTACTCGATGAGCAGGGAGCCTGACGAGGATCTCGATCCCAGGACCCTGAGATCGTGACCTTAGCCAAAGGCAGATGCTTAAGGGACGACCCAAGTGACCGATAGTCTGTACAGGTAGTTTTAAAGATAAAGGGGTAGAAAAAGATAAAACATAGAATAGTAAACAAAAATCTGAAGTAACCATCTTAATATCAAAGTAGATGTCTGAACGATGAAAATTGCCAGAGATAAAGAGAAATAGTATATTGGGTGCCTGGGTGGCTCAGTTGGTTAAGTGACTTCGGCTCAGGTCATGATCCTGGAGTCCCAGGATCGAGTCCCGCATTGGGCTCCCTGCTCAGCAGGGAGTCTGCCTCTCCCTCTGAATTTCTTCCCTCTCATGCTCTCTCTCTACCATTCTCTCTCTCTCAATAAATAAATAAAAAAATCTTTATTAAAAAAATAGAGAAATAGTATATAATGAAAAAAGAACTGAATAGCCAAAGCTGTTTTAAGTAAGCTTTATGCCCTGTGTGGGGCTGGAACTGATGACCCTGAGATCGAGTAGCACACTCTACCAACTGAGCCAGCCAGGCACGGCACCTGCTAAAACCGTTTTGAAAAAGAATAAAGTTTGGGACGCCTGGGTGGCTCAGTCGGTTAAGCGTCTGCCTTTGGCTCAGGTCATGATCCGAGGGTCCTGGGATTGAGCCCTACATCAGGCTCCCTGCTCAGCGCAGAGCCTGCTTCTCCCTCTCCCTCTGCCTGCCTCTCTGCCTGCCTCTCTGCCTATTTGTGCTCTCTCTCTATCTCTCTGTCAAATAAGTAAATAAAATCTTAAAAAAAAAAAAAGTTTGAGGAATTATAGTATGCAGTTTTAAGATTTACTATAAAGCTATAAGAATTAAGATAGTATGGTATTGGTAAAGGGATTGATAGATTAGTGGAATAGAAGTGTCCAGAAATTGACACAAATATGGCCAATTGATTTTTGACAAAGTTGAGGAAATTCAATGGCAAAATGATAGTCTTTAACAATTTAGTGCTAGAATGACTGGATATCCATTTGCAGATGAAATGAACCCTAACTGAAACCTCACACCTTATATGTTAACTCAGAATTGATCACAGATCCAAATATAAAACTATAAAATGATTTGTTGATTAAACCCCTTAGTGATCAGGTTGCAGTAACAGCAATTAAAATACATTCTAAGAATGCCTTCCTTATAGTCTGTGTAACAGTAATATCACCACCATTGTTTTATAACTTAAAGGCACATATCTTGTAGATGGGTTTTGCAGTAATGGTTTATGAGGGATTTGTGTGACAAAAGAAGATGGTGAAGCAAGGGGTGGGAAGCAAATGTTTTAGAAGACTTTCTCAGGGCAGTCTCTTGATACTGGAAACTTGCTTTTCCTGATGATTCTGTTAATAAATCAGCTCATCTCTGTGGTATTGCCTATTCTATTCCTTGGCATCACTGCTTCAAAGGAAACACCCATCATCCATGGACTGGAAAGGTGAAGTGGTTCACCCCCCCATTAGCCTGTGTCCATTGTTCTGACATTGGACCCAGCTAGACTGTCCAGTGCTCAGATGCCCCACCATGCCCTTACCTTACCCCATTTAACAAGTTCTATTTTGTATCTCTCCACACCATTTTGAGTTTGTCCTTATAAATGTCACGCTTCTCTCAGCAAAGTTACACCTTGATCCTTATATATTTATTGCAATATGAATAGAATTTAATCATATTTCATCACATTACTATTGGCAAACAGGAAAGCTTTCAGATAATTTACTTAAATGGTTCAAATATCTTGCTAGTATTTCAGTATTTTTCTTCATTTGGTCTTCAATTTGTTTTTTGTTTTTAATTTTTTTTTTTAAGATTTTATTTATTTATTTGACAGAGAGAGACACAGCGAGAGAGGGAACAGAAGCAGGGGGAGTGGGAGAGGGAGAAGCAGGCTTCCTGTGGAGCAAGGAGCCCGATGTGGGACTCGATCCCAGGACCCTGGGATCATGACCTGAGCCGAAGGCAGACGCTTAACGACTGAGCCACCCAGGTGCCCCTTCAATTTGTTTTTAAAACTCAGTTCTTTTTAATAGATAATCTACTTTTATTTCTTGAATTACTGCATTGATAAAAATTTGGGGACCATATTTTTTTTTATTTATTTGACAGAAACACAGGGAGAGAGGAAACACAAGCAGAGGGAGTGGGAGAGGGAGAAGCAGGCCCCCCATAGAGCAGGGAGCCCGATGCGGGGCTCAATCCCAGGACCCTGGAATCATGACCCAAGCCGAAGGCAGACGCCTAACGAATGAGCCACCCAGGCGCCCTTGGGGACCATATTAATAATAGTGATACTAAGTACCCTTGTTTGGTTACCAGGTTTAATTTGATGGAGTTCTTTTGGTGTTATATCATTAGGTAAAATGTTGCATCGGGCTATCAAAAACCTTCAGTTCTGTTACAAAAGTATACCATCTCCCTGCTCCTTTTCTAAAATCATGTTCAGAGTCTCATGACATTTTATCTATATTCCAGTCACAAGAACCCTGTTTGGTTATTAATAAAATCTAGGGAGGTGCTTTACCAGCTCAGTCACTCCTCTGAGACTTTCTGCCTCTTGCCATGATTGTCCTCTGGGGCAGTGGTACAGACTTTTTTTTCCCCCTAAGGTTGTACAAACTGCCACAAATGTGGTGGCTTAAAACAAATTCTCTCACAGGTCTAGAGGCCAGAAGTTTGACATCAAGGTGTTGGTAAAATTGGCTCTTTCTGGAATTTCTGAGAGGGACTCCATTCCAGTCCCCTCTCCAAGCTTTTGGTGGCTGCCGGCAATCCGTGGTGTGCCATGGTTTGTGACTGCCCTACGATCTCAGCCACCATCTTCACATGGCTTTTTCTTCTGTGTATCTCCGTATAGCTCCTTTTCTATGTCTTATAAGGACACCCGTCATTGGATTTAGGGCCCATCCTAATCCAGGATGATCTCATCTTGAGATCCTTTAATTATACCTGCCAAAACCTTATTCCAAATAAGGTCACCTTCACAGGTTCCAGGGATTAGGACTTGGACATATCCTCTTGGGAGGCCACTATTAAACTCACTACAGTACTAACCTGTTTACTAAATGAAACAACTTGCCCGAGCCCCTGTTTTAGTCAGGAATGGTGCCAGGCACTGGAAGTATGAAGATGACTAAGATGATATCTTTTTTAACATCACAGAGTCTGATTTCAAAAAACGATATAAAAACCCTCACACCCATATGAGATATAAGTATAATGAAGAGATAAATACAAATCTTGTGGAAACACATATTAGGATACTCACAAAGGAATTCCTTAAAAAGAATGTTTGCCTAAAACTGCCCTGTCTGAGGGGCGCCTGAGTGGCTCAGTCGTTAAGCATCTGCCTTCGGCTCAGGTCATGATCCCACTGGGATCGAGCCCCGCATCGGGCTCCCTGCTCAGTGGGGAGCCTGCTTCTCCCTCTCCCACTCCCCCTGCTTGTGCTCTCTCATTCTGTCAAATAAATAAAATCTTTTAAAAAAATAGTAAATTTTATGAAATCTAGTATAGATCAAATATTTTTTAATTTTTTATTGTTATGTTAATCACCATACATTACATCATTAGTTTTGGATGTAGCGTTCCATGATTCATTGTTAGATCAAATATTTTTGATGAAAATTTAGCATCTGAATTGAGATGCTCTTCAGTGAGAAATACACAGCAGATATTGAAGACTTAGTAAAAAAAAAAAAAAAGCTTTGTTGTATTGTCTCCATTTCCTCATCTGTGATACTTGATTGACAACACCTTCACTGTAATGATCGTACCAGCAATCTATTTGGAAGAGCATTGTCAGTTTCAAATTTTACATCCTTTTATTACTGGAGAGTTTACAGTGCCTCCTAATTAATGGTAGGGTTGAAGAAGAGTGGAGTATTAGAAAAGTATTCCCAGGGGTGCCTGGGTGGCTCAGTCATTAAGCATCTGCCTTCGGCTCAGGTCATGGTCCCAGGGTCCTGGGATTGAGCCCTGCATTGGGCTCCCTGCTCCGCGGGAAGCCTGCTTCTCCCTCTCCTATTCCCCCTGCTTGTGTTCTCTCTCTCTGTCAAATAAATAAATAAAATCTTAAAAAAAAAAGTATTCGTGCCTCACAAAGTAAAAACTGTACTGGTTCTCAGAGGAGCACGACAGCAGTGTGCTAAGAATAAGGGACTTATAAAATCCAAAGTGATGAAAGTATGTGAAATAAATATTAGAGTTATAAAATTCTTTGCAATAAAAAATGTAAAGTACCTTGATAATTTTTATATTGATTACACGTTGAAATAATTTGAATATTTAAAAAATAAAATGTTATTAAAGTTCACCTTTTTCTTATTCCCTTTGTTATGTGACCACTATAAAATTTAAAATTACATATATGGTTCTCATTTCTTTTCTTTTTTAATTAAAAAACATTTTAATTTTAGATAAAAAGAGAGTACCTGACCAGCAGGGAGGAGCAGAGGGGAAGGGAGAAGGGGGAAAGAATCTCAAGCAGACAATGAGCTAAGGGCGGACCCCAATACCAGGCTCCATCCCACAATCCTGTGATTGTGACCTGACCCTGAGATCATGACCTGAGCACAAACTGAGACTCAGATATGAAACAATGAGTCAGATGCTCAACCAACTGAGCTACCCAGGCACCCATCTTATTTTTCTATTGGACAGCACCGCCAGGTCTAAAATGGTGAAAGGGAATGAGATTAGGGAAGAAAGAATATTTTACAGAAGAGAAAGAGGTATTCTTGGTCATGATAATCAGTTAATGAATGTATGGATTTAGTTTTATCCCAATGTACTATTCTTGCCAGACCCCCCTCCCTCACGTTTTAAAAAAATAACCAGGAATGTGAAAGGGGGTAAGATGGAAGAGTATTTGCCCAAGATCTCAGTGTTAATCTCCACCTTTGGGCATGGGGAGCAGTCAGAGCAATAGTAGTCCACCTTTGTCTTGAGAGGAATTTACTGAATCTGGGCCACATTCTTAATGCATTCTGAGTGAAGTACCTGAAAAAAAAATCTTGATAATATCTCTGGAAATTTTGAAGTCAGAGATCTCTGTCAAATAAAAAAATCTTTGGGGCGCCTGGATGGCTCAGTTGGTTGGGCGACTGCCTTCGGCTCAGGTCATGATCCTGGAGTCCTGGGATCGAGTCCCGCATCGGGCTCCCTGCTCAGCAGGGAGTCTGCTTCTCCCTCTGACCCTCTTCCCTCTCGTGCTCTCTATCTCCCTCAAATAAATAAATAAAATCTTAGAAAAAAAATAAAAAACAATCTTTAAACATTTTAGTCTCTTAATTTTTTTGCCTTTTCAAAAGAGGATTTTAACCAACTGAGCCACCCAGGCACCCCCTTGATTGCATTCTATAGAGGACATTATCACACTGTCCTCTTCTGGGGGATTTGTCACCCTCAGTGATCCTGCCCCCATAGTCACATTTTTGTATAGTCCCCTCCCACATTGTGTGAGGGTTGCCTTTGCGATCAATAGGATGCAGCAGAAGTGGTTTGTCACTTCTGAGGCAAGGTTCTAAAGGACCCTGTCTTCTGCCTCTCTCTCTCTCTCTCTCTCTCTCTCTCTCTCTCTCTCTCTCTTTCTCGGATTGGTTGCCCTGAGGGAAGCCAGTTGCCGTGTTGAGACGCTCTCCTGGCCAGGAAATGAGGCGCCTGCCAATAGTCGTGTGGTGTGCCATCCTGGAATTGGATCCTTGAGCCCTGGCCGAGCCTTCAGGTAGACTGCAGCCTGGCAGAGAGTTGCAGTGCCACCTCAAGAGAAAGCCTGAGCCAGAACTGCACAGATGAGCTGCTCCTGACTCTCAGAAATGGTGTGAGATAATAAACATTTGTTGTTTTAAGCCACCAGATTATGGGTTATTTGTTATGTAACAACTAATAAACTGCTTGCGAATTTGTGAGTCTGTAGCAATTTCCTAAGAACTATATTGGAAAGGACACTGGTCCCACTATTTTCATATATGCACAAGCAGTTTGTTGGACACCCCCTGAAATTCTGGACATCAACATATTGAGTAGATAGAAGACCAACAGAGTGACTTAGAAAAAAAAATAAAAACAAAACCAGTATCACTTCCTTGGGACTTCATTCCTTTTGTCACTTCCCACATTTATGTCGATTGAGTTCCCCTTCAGCAGGTTCCTCTGGCTGTAAATCTAGAGCCTCTTAAATTGGTGAGAGTGTTGACACTCCTCTCACCAGCTATTTCTTCTGGAACTCTGTGTTCAACTTGAGTTTCACTTCCAGCGTTGTAACTCTTGCTTTCTTTGCTGCAATTTCATCTTTATTGGCCAATTCCCCCTTAATTATTTTTTTTAAATGCCACTTGAGTTTGTATAGTAGTCTGACTCCATATTTGACCTTTGATTGATGACAGCTTTCAAGCTTCACCCCTGTTTTCTTCTCCCTCTGCCCTGTGTCACATCAAGCTGATGTGAAAGCCCAGGCGCTCCCCTCTTTGACTCTGGAGGAAAGTTCAAGTCACACAAGTCCCGGCTCCAGCCCCACCCCTTAGTCACAATAAAACCTTTAAGGCAGTCCTTCCCAGCTCTCTCAAGCCATTTTTGGACTTAAGTGGTAACTATCCCTGTTCACTCCAGGAAGCCTCATTTTTTTGGTAAAGATTTTATTTATTAGAGAGAGAGCACAAGCAAGGGCAGCAGCAGAGGGAGAGGGAGAAGCAGGCTTCCTGCTGAGCAGGGAGTCCGATGGACTCATCACAGGATCTTGGGAGCATGACCTGAGCCCAAGGCAGATGCTTAACTGACTGAGCCACCCAGGGGCCCTCCAGAAAGCTTCATTATATGAGTAATAAACCTTTTCATACCCTCTTTGTGCATGTAGAGTGCCATCAGTTTTGACATCCAAACTGAATTTGTGATGGGGATCCATCTTATTTCTTCAGGGTATCAAAGATAAACACAGCTGGACATTAGTTAAGGCGGTGAAAATAGATTCTATCTAGTAACTACTGGCGGGAAAGAACTGAGAATTCTAATTTTGTGGAGGTGATAGGATATTTTAAAATAATGTGGTGGGGAACAAGCAGAGACTCAGAGTCAGAAATGAAATAATAAAAAGTATAAATGAGGGGCGCCTGGGTGGCTCAGCTAGTTAAGCATCCAACTCTTGATTTGGGCTCAGGTCATGATCTTAGGGTCCTGAGATCGAGCCCTGCCCGGGGCTCCACGTTGTGCATAGAGCTTGCTTAAGATTCTCTCTCCCTCTGCCCCTCCCCCACTCAAGAGTGTGCTCTCTCTAAAAAAATTAGAAGTATAAATGCAATTAGGTCAGCTGCATCTGTAATTATCGAAATTAGAATTCCGTCCTCCCACAGAGACAGAGACAGAGGCCCTATCCTTCCTGATGAATACATTTCATTTCAAGGAAATGGTTTTCAGGTCCTTGACAGAGATACTTCTGAGTTGTAGGAGATACATATACATCTGAAAGGGACAGAGGAAGAATTCATAATTAGTGAATGCTCTAAGGGAAGTCAGTGGCCTCTCCTCACTGTTGGCTGGCACAAACAGTAAATTCTGGCAGAGTTGAGTTTTTTGGGCTGACATTTTAATGGTCTGTGTGTGTCTCTGTGTGTCTGTGTGGCTGAGGGCAAGGTGTGGGGAGGTGGGCATGGGAGTGGCTACCAACAGCCTTATGTTGGTTAGAGTTATTAGAGTTTATTTGTCTCTCAGCAGAGGTCTGGACAGAATCCCTATGTGCTCAGAGTTCTGCAATTCTCAGTAATTAGAACAGTTTACCAGTGGGAGACGAGCCCACACAACTACAACTGTTGCTGTCTCCATGTGAATTGAGTAACAGATTCGCAGTGACCAAATACCAACAGACTTTGAAAGAAGAGATATGACTTGTCACTGATCATGATGTGCAGCCATTATTAGTGTTACGATTTGTGGACTGAAGAACTAGAAGCTGAGTTTGTACTTTATGTGATTACTGACAGTTAATATGAAGGGGTACTGGTATTATTTAACTAAACCAGGCATCCGTGCAGAGGACTGCCTGTTGAATATGGGGCTGTCACTTTTTTTTTTTTTTAAAGATTTTATTTATTTGACAGAGAGACAGCTAGAGCAGGAACACAGCAAGCAGGGGGAGTGGGAGAGGGAGAAGCAGGCTTCCCGCTGAGCAGGGAGCCTGATGTGGGGCTCCATCCCAGGACCCTGGGATCATGACCTGAGCTGAAGGCAGACGCTTGACGATTGAGCCACCCAGGCGCCCCAGTGCTGTCACATTTTACGGGAATTTAAATTGTGCAAATTTAAAATAATGTGAATAAATATTTGAAAGTTGTATGTTATATACAAAGTTTGAAATCATGCAATTCTCTTAATACTTTAAAAAATTGTTGGGAATCATAGAATTTTAAAACTCTCTTAAACAGCAAATTGAGGTCAGTATTTATTACTATACATAATCCCTTTCACCTTAACCACACAAAATTTAACTCTATCATGTGTCAGTCTCCTGTAAGTGCTGTTTATGTGCTTTGAAACATTCATTTTGTGAATGATCTGCAGACTTGTGCTGCTACTTTAATATTCAGTGTTGCTAAAATAAAAATCTTTTTTTTTTAAACCAACTAACCCAAATATTTACTTAGGAGTGGTATTCATGCTTGTGCTCTAAAACATGCCTGAAAATTGGTAACTTTGGAATAGAATTTTTGTTTTTATTTATTTATTTTAAAACAGTTTTTTTTAATATTTTATTTATTTGTCAGAGAAAGAGCGTGAGCTAGCGCAAGGAGGGGAAGCAGCAGGCAGAGAAGCTGGCGTTCCACTGAGCAAGGAGACGGATGTGGGACTTGATCCCAGGACCCTAGAATCATGACCTGAGCCAAAGGCAGACGCTTAACAGACTGAGCCACCCAGGCGTCCCAGAATTTTTATTTTTTATACAATTTGAATTTGATGCACTATGCACTTGAATTGGTAGCTTAATTCTGTTAAATACTCAGAAAATATGAAGCAGAATTAAAACAAAATTTCTCTATCCCATTGGTAGATTTATGCTCTTTGAGAATGCATTTACTACACTTAGTCCAATGGGAAAATTAGTACTCGATTATCTAGATAGTAAATCTTGCCTTGTCTTCACATACATATTCTTCACATCACTACTATGTACTATAAATATGTGGGTTTCATTGTTGTGGGGTTTGTTGAATCCTGGTTTTTAAAAAACAACTTCAACTTCAAAAAACTTAACAAAATCTTTATAATAGACACTTTGGAACAATTGGGGAAATTTGAATATGGAGTTGATATTAGAAGGTTTTTATGGAATTACTGTTAAATTTTGTAGGTGTGATATTATTGTGATCATGTAGGAGTATGTCCTTAATCTTTTAAGATATATGATGACATATTCAGGGCTGAAGTGTCATCATAAATGACTATACATTTAGATAGATAAAACAAACATGGCAAAATATAACAGCTGTCGACTCTAGGTGAGGTGTTTATGTCTGCTCATTAAATTCTTTCAAAATTTTCTATTTGAAATTATCAATAAGAGCCGGGACATATATTGACCAAGAAAATGTTTACATTCTTCACTGAAAACATGCTATAATAGTTATGCCCTTAAAATGCTATTTTTGTAAAATGTCAGAAGATTGTGCACAGTCATCTAAGGGAGATTGGGCTGTGCGTGATAGTCGTTTTCTTTTAGTTTGTGTCTATTTTTATTCATCTACAACTTTTATGTATTGCAAGTAATTTTGAGAAGCTGGCACCATCATGTTTTATCATTATTACTACTACTGCCGACACCACCAGCTCTGTGGTGGGAGAAGCTCTGTCACAGGCTTTTCTTTTTCAACGTTCGCACTGCGTGACTCTCTCGAGTCTTCAGTCCGCGACAGTCTGCGAGTGCTGAATTTAGGCCTCACGCCCCCTGGCGGTTCTCCCCGACGCAGCTCCGGCCCCTCCAACCCCGCTCCTGCCGCGAGGCCTGACGGGAAACGCCCCTCCTGGTTTGCGGCTAGAGTCGCGCGGGAGCCGGGGGGAGGGGGGCTGGGCGTTTCGGCGCATGCGTTGCCCACGCTGGGCCCTGCGCCTGGGCGAGGCGGGGGCTGGAGCGCCGTTGGGGCGCGGCGGGTGTTGAGAAAGAGCTGCGCCCGCGGTGGGGGCGGGGCTCGGGCCCGGGTCGGGGCCCCAGGTCCCAGCCCGCAAGAAGTGCCTCCGCGGGTGGATCGCTGCGCGACCTTTGTTCGCACACTTGCGCCTGGGGGTTCTGAGGCTGCGGTAGTGTAGGCGGCTCCTGTTCGGAGGCCGCCGCACGCTCAGTGATTAATGCAGGGAGTCCTCACCGTTCTGCTCTAACAGATTAGGAAACGGAGACTCAAGACAGGCCCGCGAGCGCCTCGGCCCGCGCAGCCCGCGGGAGACGGCGCTAGGAGGCACATCCACAGCTGTCTCCTCTCTAAAAAAAGATTCTGCCTAAACCCGGCGACCTAGCCCACCCAGCATTGAGCCAGGGGGCATCGCCGTCAAATATAACGTGGAATCCGGTTTGTCGTGGGGCACTTGTATTTCCGGGATTCTTCGTGTTTCTTCAGCCTTTTTGGGTCACGCTTCATAATGGTTAGTTACGCGCCTGGTCTGAACTGTCCAGCCTGTGTGTCCTCAATGGTCCTGGTTTGGGTTTTTTGAAGGACCAGCCCAAGATGACGGGGTATAGGAAGTTCCAAGATTTGAGACCCTTATAGTAGGTTACAAGTGAAATGATTTTGGCCCTGACGTTCATGTCCTGGTTTCCAGGAACAAAGAAGCTCTCCTAAGGTAGAGGAATCCCACCTGGAAGATAGCCAATGTGAATGGCGACCTCCCACCAGGGCTGCAGAGCAGAGGAGGACTAGGCCGAGAAAGAGCA